TTTATATAATATATATTATAATAATAATAATACAAATCAACAAACATGCCCGATCAACCTGCAGTAGCAATCAATATATATAATACACTGTTGCGCCACTGTTGTATTTTTTACATCCAGATTTCCTAATTTTCTGGTGGATTTTCCTACAATTTTCTTTCTTAAAAACTTCCTCCTGGTAATTACGAACATCTTAAAAAGAATTTGAGCCAAATCTGACTATAGCCGTTCTCGATTGATGAGGTATAAGTTATAACGACATTTTGACGCTCCATTTATATATATATATATACATAGGTAGATTATATTGTTTAATTAAACAATATCCTTAGAAATTCCAAAAAACCAGAACTTTAATAAATGCTTAACTAACATTTAATATTCAAACCGGGTGAGCAAAATATAAAATCACTAAACTGCACCTGCTGTCCGCTCTCAATAAACGATAAGTTCTCAAATTATTTATAGCAAAACTTATAAGTTACACCTTTATGTTTAAAGAGTGTGTCGTAGAGAAGACATTTAGCCATTTAGATAAACGCAGTATAAACATATATAATATATATCATAATATGGAATTGTGATTTATTTATTTTACAAGTACCAAGTTGTGGGCAAATTTCCTAACCACCTTAGCATAAAAACGACAACATTGGAATATTGAATTTCGTGTAAATGCATGAGGTATTACACATGGCTCGGTTTTTTAGATTCTGAGTGAAACGATGAATGTATTGATTTTACAATGATGTGTGTTTTTTTTTTATTTTTTTATTTTATTTTTTATTTTTTTTGTGTCTGTGTACACGATAAGTAGTCGAAATAATGCTTCGATTTTCGACTTCAGTATCTTGTTCGATTGGAAAGTGAATATCGTTGGTGCATTGGGGAGGTCAAAATTTAAATTTCCCAGTAGTTTTCAAGAGCGCCGGGAAAAACAAAAGAAAAATTAAGGAAAAACGGGAATTTTTACGCAAAATCGATTTTTCAGAAAATTGAATTTGGTTTTTGGTGTAACTTTAAAACAAATGACCGTAGGTACATGCAATTTTCACTGGTTGTTTATATTTGCATCTTCTATACACGATAACATTTTCAAAATATTTTGATTTATTTTGAACAGTTTAGGGACATTTTCATTTTTAGTTTTTTTTTTGTTTTTTTTCTAGAAATATCAATAAAATTTTATTTGTTGGTTGCGAAAGCTTGAAAATTTAATAGAAGGCTCCTAATATATTGTTTCAAGGGCAGATGAAAAATATTAAAAATCCTTAGTCACAATTTTTTTTTATAAGCATTTAAAGTTCAAAAATTGACAAAATATGGAAAAATCACGAAAATTAGCAAATTATTTTGAGTTAAGAATTCGTAAAAATTTTTCTTTTTAAATCTAAGATTTGAAAATCTAATACAAGATTACTCATAAGATTGTCTACCTTTATCAATAAAAAAATCTCTACCGGAAAGTCAAATTAAATTTTTATGAGCGTTTGAAATTCAAATTTTTACAACATTGGATATTCACTCGATTTCTCATGTGGCAATTTCCTTTTTTTGTTGTAATTAAAAAACGAATTACTGTAGATACATGAAAATTTCACTGAATGTTTATATTAGCATTTTCTATACACCATACAATTTTGAAAATATTTTGACTCTTTTTGAGCCGTTTACGGACATTTTCAGTTTTCAATTTTTTTAGTTTTTTTTTTCTATAAATATTAATTAAGTTTTATCTGTTGGGCCAAAAAGTGTAAAAATTTAATACAAGGCTCCTGATATATTGTTACAATATCAGTTGAAAAATATTAAAAATACATAGGCACAATTTTTTTTTATAAGCATTTTAACATCGAATTTTGACAGAATTTTTCAAAATCTCGAAAATTATTAATCATCGTAATTAATAAATTATAAAATGTTCAGTTTTTATAGCTAAGGATTGAAAATTTAAAACAAGATTCCACGTAAGTAGTTAATTCTCTTACCGAAAAATCTAAAAAATATACAATCACAGTTTATTTTTATAGTCATTTTATGTTCAAATTTTGACGAAATTACATATTAAAAAACCTAGTTATTTTGTTGTGATTATATAATATTATTCGTGGGTACCTACTTGAAACTTCTAAAGTGTACTATTATATATATATGATAGTATCAGGGTTTGTTGTTGGTGTATAACGTGTTATTAGTACCTAATGGATATTGTGATAATGTGATATGATTAATTTGGAATTTATTATAGGTCAATTTTTTTTTAATACCATAGATATGTATATAATTTGTCTTAACCTAGACTGACATACCGTCTTCGCTCAGAATCGTTTTTCTTATACAATGATATTGTATCATTGAATTCAAATTTAATAGCATCAATTATACAGTGACCCACTTGTAACCTACTGTACAGCAGAGCGACATCCACTTACCCACCTTTTTTTTATTGTGGTATCCCCGTTAAGGACTAATTATTTACACGTACAAATAAAGCGTCAATTTTACCACACTTTCATCACAAAGTTATTTAATGTTAATGATCAATGGTGGATAACTTTTTGCAGGATTCATATATATGAAAATATGATTGTATATGCGTGATTTGACGAATGACCAACATGGTTTACAATAATTGGAGAAATAATAACTTAATGATGGTAAAATTTGCGAATCGGTCCATGATCGGATTGAATATTAAGGAATAATTCAATGATTACAAACAACAGTAATTTAGCTTCAACCGATTTCAATTTATGTCCAGTTTCTGTAAACATTGCTCAAAGCTCATCGCGAGAATTTCACTTGTAGCAGCATCCTTCAATATAAAAAAGGCTCTAGTTCAGATTGAATAAATGAATCCAGGTGAATTAATTATAATTTTTTATTTTATCAAAAATATTAATTTAATTATAATTTTTGTAAGATTTGCCAATCTCAACTGGAAAGTAAAACCAAGTATCCGGATTGCATTGCGGCGCCACCCCACTTTCAATTTTACGGCTATTTAGAAGGTACCTATTTATAATATTTTGTGATGTGTTTTTTTAAATGCCGACCGAATTATTTAACGAATTCTCATACCGGAAAATAACCACTTCAGGGTATCCAAATTATATATTTTTATTGTGACTTTGTGAGTATATAATATAGAAAAGTTTGGAATCATCTATTATATAGGTACCTACTCCATAATGTTAGGTTATACATATAGAATACCATATCAGTTAAAATGTATTATATTAGTATTTCCTCGTGTAGTATAGGTACCTACTACTATTTAAGTCCATAGGCGCAATTTCAACTTTTGACTTGGGGGGGGGGGGCTGAATATATTAAAGGCAAGCAAACCATTGCAATATAGTATTATAACAGTATGTCATAGGTTTTTTTTTGGGGGAGGGCTTCCCCCCAATTTGCGCCTATGAGTGTAACCCACAAATATATATATAATTATTGCATCCGGTCCACGTCATATCATTGACACTTCATCTGTCCATTATAAATGAGATATTATGTATAATTATAATGTACTGGGATAAATACTATTACACTGCACCACTGCAGAACCTTATTTATACACTTTTATATAGGACATAGGTACAAGGGTGTTTCATTATAGTGATCGATTTATTTCATTACCGTCCGCATATTGATATTACCAAATCTACACGAGTCACGACTACAGGTCATATTATTTTTAAATATAGGTAGTGTGAGCAAGATGCGTTAAGCTGTTCAAGACTCAAGTCACACAGACTACAGTCGTACACGGTATACCCAACACTTACATTTTATTGCTCTAAAGTAACATGCTATTGTATAATGTATATCAATAATCAATCTCGCACAGTCGTATCTAATGAGTGACTTCTATAATACCTATATATAGAAATAAACAGGATAATAGTGATAACCATAACGTACAGGTAAGTACTTTATCTATACGGTTGAAAATAATTAATAATATTTTTACCCCTGCAAAAATGCAGTTTAAGTGCATGTTTCAAGTAAAACTGAATATATTATAGGTATGCCCCAAAATACGTTTATTATATAATTATGTTATGCATTATTCATCTAATTTTTCAGCACACGACCTAACGAACCCTGCAGGCAGGGGCGGATCCAGAGTTAGGAAACTGTGGGTCAGGAAATTTCAAGGGACCACTTATTAAAACCAGATTAGAAATCTATACTTGTGTACTAGGCATATAAAACAAAAAAAATAATTTATACCTACTATGTGTGTTTATTCGAGGGTCCTAATATCCAACTACACAAGATCTGAAAAGAGGTTAATTTGATCAGCAAATATTAACTGTGGGTTTGCTGACCTCCATAACCCCCCCCCCCCCCCTTGATCCACCCCTGTCTGCCTTATTATGATTCATAATATTATTATCATCATGAAAATAATTTATAAATATTAAATTAAATATGCGATATTGTACCTGCACCAGCGATTCACATAAGATATAAAACAATATTAATATTATTATATCTCACCTTCACCGCGCCAAGGAGTAGGTACTCTACAGGACACGAACGGCGGGATGAATAATAAAATACAATAATATTAGTGGGAGTGACCGATGGGAGTGTCTGCGAACGTCCGTTGGTGGGAGACGCCGAAACGCTCGCGCCTCTCGTCGGCGGGCGCGTCGGGTGGCACGTCGTCGCGCGACTGTCCGTGGACCGTCCCCGCAGCGGCAGCGGCAGTCTGTAGTACTTGTAGTAGTCGGCTCACATCCGCGGTCCGGACGCGCACGATGCGATCGAAATATAACGACGTCGGCCGCGCAACCACCCCGCGGTGATAACGAATCGCATAAAAGCCGATCGAAATAACTGCCGCAGCGCTGCGAATCCGTCACCGACTAGACCACTGCATAAATAAAATTATTAAATAATATTTATTTTGTATAAATTTAAAACGGATTGACTGGTTTTAAAAATAATTTCCTAATATCGCGGCTGTTAAAAAAACCGTCTCGAATTTTTTACCGCCACCGAGATATGCGCCTGGTGCGGATGACGTCGGACCACAGCAAGAAGCGGCGCCGTGGCCCGTCGTCGGCGGACCAGCATGGCACGGCCACCGCCTCGTCGTCGTCGTCCTCGTCTTCGCCGCCGTCCGAGGACCTGTGGTGGACCGAGGCGGCCGTCAACGAGGTGACCGCCGAGCATCCGGGCGAGCTGGTCCGCACCGGATGCCCGTACATGCTGTGCAGCGCCCTGCCCACGCACTGGCGGTCCAACAAGACGCTGCCCGGCGCGTTCAAGGTGGTCATACTGTCCGAGGTGCCGGACGGCACGGCCGTCACGCTCAAGGCAGGCAACGATGAGAACTGTTCGGCCGAGCTGCGCAACTGTTCCGCCCTGGTCAAGAACCAAATCGCCAAGTTCAACGACTTGAGGTTCGTCGGGCGCAGCGGACGAGGTAAAGCACGCATATACATATTAATTTTTTATATTATTATGTTCACGAAGCATAATAATTGTGTAGTTATGATGAAGGAACCCTCCCCGGCCGAGACTTAAATTTGCCCCTTTTAAGCAACGATAGGTGTGGGGGATGAAATCCCCCAAAAGTGATGAAAAATTAACTGTCAATTTAGTACTATTATATTATTGCATAGCAGTATAATAGGTGGTTTATACCTATGCAAGTAAATATATTGTCAAACATTATAATCTACAATATTATATTGCATTAAATTGCATTAAATTGTTCAACGGTTTTGGTTTTCATTTTATTAGCCGGTCTACTTATAGCAGATATCTAGAAAAGCAAAAATTAAATTATAAATTTCATACTCCTCATAATGACTCATGACAAATGTGTTTAACTTTCAAAGTTTCATTATAAATATTAATAATGTAATATGTTATATGTATTAAAATTTATTAAGTACTGAGAGGAATGAGTTTTAAAATTATGTGTTTATTGTTCTTTTTTATTCGTCTACCATTACGTTTTGGAGCAAAAAGTTCGTATTAATATTCAACATCAGAGGTTTTTTCTAATAGAAAATTTGATCTATAAAAAAAATATTTATTTTGTATAGTTGGTACTAATTTAAGATCAACAGTAGCAAATTCCCAGTAGGTACTTTTCATAATAATAAGTGTAGATAATTAAAAATATATTAATCGTTATTTGGACTTGAAACTATTTTGAATTACGTATATATTATTGTTTTCTATACACAATAGAATTTCCAAAAAAGTATTTAGAATATTTATAAATATATTTTTTAAATTAACCATAAAAAAAATATTTAACACCATTCTAAGTTTTGGCAGTAAAGGATATAAGATATGAATTAAAGTATTAAACATCCATCATATTGTGATTTCCTTAGCAAAAATATGTTTAACCTTCCTGCAAATTAACAGAATAGTGTATACTAATAATAATAATAATATACATATATATATATAAATATCTAATAAAAATATAATATATATAATAATATTTAATACAAAATAAAATAATAATCTATAATATAGAAATATATTATAGAAATATCTACTGATTTGTGTACAATATTGATTATGTTACATTCATTAAAATTTAATAAATCAATTACAGTAACTTATAAATTACGAGGTAGGTATACTATCAAAACTTACTATACAGCAGAGCGAGAGTAGTTTAAAAAAAAAAAAATATTTCATTATGAAGGTATTTTGTCTTTTTTGTCGATAGGGGGAAAAGGAAAAAATATTCAAGAGGCCCCCGGCATTGTCCTATATACATAGGTATAAATATTTTTGTAAGCAGGCTTTCCTGTATTTGTATTCTGAAGTCTTTGGGTTTGTTCAAATGTTTTATGTTTGCTTTTGGACTTTTCAAGTATTCTTTGGTACATAATATCGACTGGGCGTATTTTCGAACACTCAGATTGTATACTGTGTTTAAATATACTGTCCTTAAGCTTTTTTCTTCAAACCCAATAGGTAGCCATTACGCGTACGAATAGATTGTTAGGTAAAAGTCATACTTACGTATTTTCAATGCACGCAGACTAAATGACTAAATATCTATTCAACATTACAGTATTACCCCAAAACAGAATTTTATGCCTGCTTCCCATCGAAAGTAAAATTGTAAAAATGTTCTAGTATTTAGTAAGGAATGGAAAATTCTGAAAAAATACAAATGCAACTACCTATACGGATACTTAAAAAAGCATTAGTATACTAATAAGTAATTAACATTTTTGAAAGGGTTTATCGTGATTTGGTATAACTATAAATTACCTACCTATCTATTCCCTTATTTGAAAGTTTGGTCAAGTATAGGCATAAATCAGGAAGTCACACCAAAAAAAATTCGTGAAAAACAGCATAATCAGGTAGGTATCTCTAATCTCTATATATTTATAAATACATAATTATATTTCTAGTTTTGTTATACAATAGATGGGTGCAGATAACAGCTGGTTCCTAGTTTTAGTATACACTTATCCAAGTACTTATAAAGTATTTGATTACTTATACTCTAGTGCTTTACAAGACAGATATTTGAGATAACTGATAAGGTATATTGGAACTAAGTCACTGAGTATTTACTACTAGTAATGGCTAGTGCGAGATATGAGAATTAAAATTTAATTAAATACATTTTTTAAAATTCAAATATGTACCCAATTCAACAAAAGGGTATATTATATTACTAGAAAAAAATTCCATGAACTCGGACACTAAAAATTAACTTATTTTTCTTCATATATTATATACAACAGTTGTTGTTGATAATACAAATTTCGTATGAAATTGGAAACATTGAACATCGTGTGTAAGTTCACAATTATTTCTGGGAGTGTTTGTGTAAATCACTGATTTATATTTTGAACATGTGATTAATTTCCAAACAGTTTCATTAAACATACAATCTCGTAAAAGTATTAATATTTTGCATAATATTTAAATGCGTTTGTGTTGTCTCTATAACCTGAACATATTGTACAAATATTTAGGATTTATTTATAATTACTAAATCTCATAGTACATAACAAAACGGTAATAATTGTTTATAGGTATATACGAGAATACGAGATAATTATTATTGGGTATACAGTATACACGTCGAATACATATAAAGCTAGGAAAAAAAGGCAGAAGATATACTGTCTTGTATTATGCTGAAGTGCACTGCAGTGCATGTCATCGTCTCCTATTCGTCTTTTTTTAACTCAGTATTGGGACATATATTTGTGCGGTTTTTCAGATATCAGTTCGGGTGTCTCGTTCTATTTATATTTAATACACACATAATATTATATATTATTATACTGCTGCAGGTAATTAAACTGTGGCCTGAAACTTCTAACCCGATGTTGTTTAACGTCCTTTAAAGGACCGAGACAAAGGACAAAGATCCGTCTTTGTTGTTGTGCTTTTTCGCCGACACATCACTGTGCGCGAGCGCTCGCGGCGCTTTCAGACGTCGAGTTGGAGATGTTTTTATTTTTTCTTTGGAAACTATAATATAGGTGCGTTATGATTTTTTATTTCCTATCAGAAGATGCAAAAACAAAAAAATCAATTTGCAATAACTGTCGCCCTAAATCTCTTTTACTATCATTTATGTACAATTACTCGGTCACATTTCGACACTATATTATAATATTAATTTACGCCGCTCTTTGATGGCTGCACTCGTCTTCCTTTGCCGGACGCGTGCAATTACTTTGACGACAGCAACTGTAGGGGGGAAAGGTAGAAAAAAAAAACTCGCCCATTGATGTATTGCGCGTTTGACAGGATTTTGTGGTCGCAATCTGCTCAGACCCGTCGCGATTTATACCGCTCGTGTATTATAATATAATATGTATATAGTACCTATATGCAATAGTAATAACTAATAAACAGCTATAAAATAGGTATGTTATACTGTTATAGTGTTATATCTTATATTATTATCGACGTTTATAAAATACGCGCATATTAAATTAATTTTTTTTTTGTAAATAGTTAATAGGTACCTAATTAATAGTTCGTCAGCTTGCAGTGTATACTATACCTGTCCTATCTACTGCTAAGAACTACGATTATAATATTCTATACACAACACTCAGTAACATAAAATGTTATATATATAATATACACTATACACAAATGTATATGTATAGGTACATATGAAAACAAAAGCTCGTGTTGAAATTAAACGCGTATAGGTATTCAATTATTTGATGTTCAAAGCTATTACTTATATACTATATTATTATGTCGTAAGTTATATATAGGTACGTGTATAAATGTATAATATAATCCTACTGTTGCAGAATACGCAACAGAAACCGCGGGTTGCACACGATTTATAATTATACCAATATGATTCATCCATTATCCCCCTTGATCCTGCAATTAATTAGTTTAACTGCTGATGACGTGTCCCGGTGAGTAAATCGTCATATCGCGTGGTAACTGGGCCTTTCTACTGCTGCAGTGGCACAAGCGTGGATTGCGGATATTTGGGATACAAACATAGTTGCACTATATCGTTATACTGCTCTCCTAACCCAAAGGCAGTAAGCCACAAAATTTGAAAAATGAGTTGATTATATCAAAGTATTCGTTATTTTAAGGCAAATTTTTTGTTTCCTTAGCAAAAATACCGTAAATGCAGTAGATTGTAAAATAAACGTGGTTAAACATATACGTATTAACAAATATATGAATGATACTAAGCAAAAAAGCAGTATCAAACACATGCTAAGCAAAAAGGCAGTAACTGACCACTGTATACGGTAATTTTGCTTAGTATTGGCTCAAATACGGTATTTTCGTTTAGTATTAGAGAGTTTTTGCACAACGCCGGTTAAAAATACGGTATGAATCCGATAACGTTATTTACCAAAACAAGCCTTTGCGCATGCGCGAAAAATATCGGAACGGTTATTTGATTATCGTAATCGGTTATTTTAAACATTTTAGCGGGCACCTAATATTTATTATCGGTTATTATATCTTATCAAATTCTGTTATCCGTGATTTTGATTTTACACTGGTGATAATTTTACACTGTACTTAATAGGTAATACCAAAAGGCAACAAACACTATATACGTATGTCCGATGTCATATTATACTCTATACCAGGGGTCTCCAAACTTTTTTATTCAAGGGCCACAAAAAAAATCAAATGCTCTTAGTGGGCCAAAAGTTTATTAAAACATATAATTTTTAACTTTATGATAATATAGGTACCTATATAAATAATATATTTACTTTATATTTTTGTATAGAATATTGTTTACTTTACAATATTATAGAGTCTATAC